CGCGTGCTTGTACGCGTTTGTGGTTACCAGAACGTACCCCTGAACGTAGGTTTTGTCTGCGGGAACTACGTCGGGGCGACTGGTCGGGGAAGAGCCCAAGCGGGAGGAAGCCCAGCGCGCTCGGACTGTGGGCGACGGCGTGCCTGGCAGAACACCCGCACTGGGCGCAGGGCGAGTCGTAACTGTCTTGTAAACGCTAATCCCACAGCGTATCCGTCTGAGCAGATGGTTGCTGGGGCACCCTGTCACGTGGCGTGGCAGGCTGGGTGGTGGGAGCCAGCAGGAGCAGAGCACCTCCTCTGGGGAGCACGAGGGGAAGGGGACTGGGGCCCGTCTGCGCGCTTCGCTGTGGGCCTGATGTTAGCCACGAAGGCGCTTACAAATCTGTGTGCATTCACCCGCTGTGTTCTGGCCCTGTGCTGGGGCACCCCGCTTGGCCACGCTTTGTGTTTGGAGAAGGCTGCCTGCTGACAGCCGAGTGGGGCTCGCCGCGCTGTCGGCCGCCTAGCCAGCAGGCCTGCCGCGCTGTCGTTTGAGGAGCGAAGCGAGGGGGAAGCCTGGGTGCTTCCAGAGTCCTTTCAGCTTGGCAGCGTTGTCGGTTTTCTTGACCTGAGCATCTGTTGAAGCTGTGTGCTCTGCCGACGCTGAGCTTGCTGGGGCTCACTCTGACCTGGAAGTGCCGATGTGCACCCAACGTGCTCGTGGGGTTTTGCGTTAAGGCTTTGCAGCGCATGGTGTCGGGGCCGGGTGCGGTGCCGTGTCCTGCAGTGCCATGGTGCGCGTGAGGATGTCCTGCTGACAAACTGCCTTCCCCGAGCTCCTGTGTCCTTTTTTCCCCCCACATTGTGACGCATGGGGAGACGGGGTCTGTTGGTCAATGATGCGAAGCAGAAGTGTCTTCCAGGCTCTTCCTCGCAGAGACTTGCTCTGCGTTGAGCCAGAGTGGCAGAGCCCTGGAGAGAGGAGCGAGAAATCCAGATTGCTGCTCGCACCACGGCCGTCTGCTCGCAGGAGAGGTTTATGGCGATGCCTCTCCTAAGCCCTCACTTGGTGACCACGTGTGGTGTTGGCTGAGGCTCCTCGGTGCTGGGTCCTGTCTCCGGGTGGGGGCTTGTCCCAGACGCTGGCTTGGGAAGCTGCTGGACACGTTGGGGAGGGGTTGTCCTGTGAGCCGTGGTGGGGGCCCAAGCGCGGGTGTCCCTCTGGCTGGTGGAGGATTGCAGCCTGGCTTGCAGGCTTTTCCCCTTCAATCTGATCGTTACTAATCTTTTCCCA